TCGACTCCTGGATGATTCAGAAATGGATTCTAAAGATCTATTTATAGGCCACCTTTAATACCAAAATCTTCTCATTATTGAAATCAAATGCAATAAAAGCTAAGATCCACGAAATCCTTCCAACCTAGATTATTGCAATACCAATCAAAAAAGAATCTCTTCAATCTCAATTGAAAATTCTCTAAATCATTGGATATGATTCTCTATCTTATTTTCTGCAATCTATTATCGGCTTCCCAGGAAAAGAATGCGTCCTCGAGTTAACCGGCTCTTCCAGGTTGAGTGGTTCCTTAGATGGGTAATAAGGCAAAAGGTCAACTACATTAAAAGTCTTAAAAATTTTTAGTGCATCCGGCAAATCGACCACATAGGCGTTGTCACTGATTTTATTTAGGATGCGATAAGGACAATACTTCTTTGGTTGCAGCTTGTTATATCATCATCTCCTTCTTTAAAGGGTACTAACTGACGATGTTTATCAGTATCTGCCTTGTACTTATCATTAATCTCTTCAAGTTTTTACTTGACTTCTGCTTGAATATCCTACACTTGTTTGGACATGTGAGTTGCAGTTATTCTTGGTCTTGGAAGTTAGGGAAGCTTAAGAAAGTCTAAGACATGTCGTAGGCACTAGACTTAGACAATGGAAAATGGTGACTTCCCAGTTGCACTATGAACATCATTATCGTAGGCAAACTTGATGAGTGGGGATTTTGACTACTTATTAGCGTCTTTTAGCTTTTGTTTTAGTAAAAAGGTATTGAATAAGGTTCCAAAATAGATAGAATATGCTAAATTGCAGAAATGTTAGAAGATGGACTCCCGAGATGAAATATGACTCAAAAAGGAGAAATCTAAACTCAAGCAAATAAAAGGCACAAAAGCTTACAAAGTGTGGACCACCGAATTTCAACATACTTTTGTGTAAATTGCGGACCGCTCATGAATTGTGCGGCCACAAAAGTTGGGCTAGGAACAAAGTTTAGAGAATGTGAAAATTCCCAAGTTCCAAGTCCCTCTGAATTGTAGACCGCATAGGAATTGTGCGGTTGCAAATGAAGTGCCGTGCAACTTCAAAAGTAAAGTTGTGGATCGTAGAAAACCAAGTTGCGATCGCAGTATTAAATCTGCGGATCGTAGAAAGACTGCCTCGCGGCCACTGATCAGAATCGTTCGGCCACAGACCTCTAATTCCTGACAAGTTGAAGAAACCTGTGGACCACACATGAAATTGCGCCGCTATAGAACCTCCCGAGGGGTATTTTTGTCCAAAATTATCAGTTTCGTATAAATAGAAGATTTTCACGAAATTAGGTCAGGTTTTGACATCAGCAAGTCCAGTAGCCATTTTCTTTGCTTATTTAGGCAACTTTAGTATATTTTGGATTTGTCTACTTTAATCTATCAACATGAGTTGTATTATCTTTTCTTCTTTGTTTTCTTCTACACCCACTATGAATAGCTAGATTTTTACTAGGGTTGTGACTCAAATCTAGTGTCTGAACCTTATGGGTGATTAATTTTATGCTTGTTTATGAGTGGATGTTTATTATTTAGCTTAGTTCATGCTTCATTTGTGGAATTAATAGTTGCAAATATTGATTCATGCCTATTTTATTTAGTCTCTTGTTGAGAAAAAGGGACCTAGTCTATGTTATCTTAGCTAACAAGGAATTCGGTCAATTGAGAGTTTATTTAACCAAATTAAAGCGTTCAACCTAAAGATAGTAACAACCCGACTTGAGCTCTTATCAACCATTTTGGTAGATACCCATTTGGACTTGAGAAAGCCAATTCGAGCAAAACCACTCTCTAGCAAGAGATATTGAGTGGGCAACACAGTGTTGTGAGCTATAATACACCCCAGTTAATAAAACGAGCATAAAAGTCTTTATCCCATTAGGCAAACACCTAGGTCATGAGCATAGCCCTAGGCCTTTTATATGTTTGGAAAACTTTCAAAAACAATCATCTCTAGTATTATATCTTTAAACTTGCAATCATTAGTTTAATTTTAGAAGTAGAAACAAAACCTATTTATGAAAGTGCAATCTAGATACTTCATTTACTCATTCCGAATATATACTACTAACTCCCATATTAGCTCCATGTGGATTCAATCCCGACTCTCTTTGGGTTTAATTATTGCAAACAATCGTATCATAACTCTTTAGAGGCATACATTTGGACGTGATCAATTTTTGGCGCCGCTGCTGGGGAGTTAAAATCGGTGTTAACTATATATTTGGGTTTGCTTGTGGAATATCTTCTTTTCCTTCCGTGTTACTAATTTGCGTGAATCAATTGTGGGTACAATAATAGCAAACAACAATGATCAACTTGAAGACATGCCTTAGGGGGATGTGGACGTTAAGGATGACCAAGATGAAGAATTTCTTCATGAACCTCAAGCAAATAATAGAGGATGGGCACCTAATGACAACATGGAACTCCCACCCACCTCCACTAAGAGCGGCTCCACACCGGGTGTTGCCTAATGAAGGGTATGAAAGTGCCATAGTCCCTCCCCGTATTACAGTGGGAAACTTTCAAATCACTAATGTGATGCTCACATTGCTAGAGCAACGAGGTTTCTTCACTAAAGCTCCTAGTCAAAATGTATACAAACACTTGAAGGGGTTTGTGGAACCTTGTTGGGAGAGTAAATAAACAAACGTCTCCGAGGATGCTTTAAGGCTAAGACTTTTTCCTTTCTCTTTACAGGGGAAAGCCTTAGATTGGTTGGAAAGATTGAAAAACAATTCCATCCGTACTTGGGATGAGTTAGCGGAGAAATGTATTGCCAAGTTCTTTTCTTCCGAGCATATGGCTACTCTTAGAAATGAGATTCTAGCATTCAAACAAGAGCCCAATGAGCCGTTACATGATATATGGGAGCGGTATAGAACAATGGTCAAGGAGTACCCCAATAACGACATGACGGAGAATATGGTTCAACAAACTTTCTATCGGGGATTAATACGCCCAACCAATGCATGGTGAATCAACTTGCCGGTGAAAATTTCATACCGTATACGGAAGCTTGTGAGATTTTAGATGAAATGGAGGACATATCATCGGCATGGAAAAGTGGGGCGAATGTTCCACAAGGTGATCCAAACGTGATTCACTTCCATAAAAAGTTGCATGACCCTGGGCAAACCATTGCCAAATTGACCACCACTGTGAATCAATTGGGAAAGGTTCAACTTCAACAAGTGCAAAGTTCTAAGAAAGACAATTCCATGGAGGGAGTAAACATGATGGTGAACAAAAGAACAACCAAGGGTCCGAAAGTACAAAGCCGAGTGGAGAATTATGTGCAAGGAGATATTGGGTTTGATCGAGATAAATCTTACATTAAACAAGAAGAGGAAGTACAATATGTTAAAAACTTTCAAGGGCAACGAAAAAATTTCCAAGGCCCAAGTCAACAACATTGTCGACCTCAAAAGAATCAAGGCAATTGGAATTCTAACAACCAAAGTAATCATAATGGTGGTAACAATCAAGAGAATTGGCATAACAATAACAATCAAGTAAATTGGAGTGGCAACAATCACAGGAAATTGGGGAGGTAATAATCAAGGCGAATGAAACAATAATCAAGGCAACCGAGGGTCGGGTTTTCAAAGTCCCCCGATGTATCGACAACTGAGCAACCCGCCTGCTTATCCTTCCCATGGTCCATGTTCTTCCAAAAATAAAATGGGGTGTATTGAGAATATGTTCGAGCAAGTGATGGAGAATAATGCCGATTCCGATGCTCAACTTGCCTCACACGATACACCAATCCGTAACTTGGAAGTTCAAATGGGGCAATCTCTCAAGCTCTAAATACTCGTCCTAAGGGGGCACTACCAAGTGACACGGTGGTGAACCCAAAGGGTGGGAAAAACATGGGGCATGCCATGGCCGTTACTATAAGAAGTTGAAAATGTGGGAATGCACCCACCTCAAATCAAAGGAAAGTAGTGGATGATGAGCAAGTTGTACAAGAAGAAGATACCCCGAACAATGTTTTGCAAGCAAATGATGAAGTTCGGATTGATATTGATGATAATGCAAGAGAGACTCAAGAGGAGGTGAACCCGTTTAGGGATCACTTTATTGACATGCCGGAACTGGTAGTGCAAAAGGCTAAGGCACCATTTCCTAAGCATCCACCTCCAAACCCTCAAAGACTTGCAAAGCAAAAGGCTGAAAATCATTTCAAGAAGTTTATCCAAATGATGAAGAGTCTCTTAATCAATGTACCATTAGTTTAAGCCTTGGAGAAAATGCCCAGTTATGCGAAGTTCATGAAGGATCTCGTGACAAAGAAGCGGTCAATGAATTTTGAAACTATCAAACACTACAAGAAAAACGACCTTTAAGGAATGAAAATCTGGTCCATAAAGATCAAAATCTGGTCCTAATACACCAATTGCAACAGGAAAAAACTGGTCGCAAGTCGTAATAGCTTCCGCCGCTAAAGGTCAACAACGATGGGTTCAGAAACCTGGTCGTTAAATGCATTTAGAGACGGACAAAAAGTCTAATCGTTAGATACTTTTAGAGACTACACATCTCGTCCTAGTAAACGATTAAAATATTATGAAAAATATATATTTTCCTGTCATTAAACAGTTTTCGCGATAACTTTTCTCCTCCCTAATATGTAATAAATATATTATGAAAAATATATATTTTTCGGTCGTTAACTAGTTTTAGCGACCAGCATTTAACTGGTCGTAACTTATCTTTTAGAGACGAGCAGCGCTGGTCCCTATTTAAAATAATTGTAGCAAGTTTAACAACTGTATTTCTTATCTCTTATTAACCACAAGTAGTCCTATATATGGATGTCAAAAAAAAAATATTTTATCAACAAATATCAAATTGCTATAGAAACATCTAAATATAAAAAGGTAATATACATACATACATACATATATATATATATATATATATATATATATATATATATAAAGTTATTAATTACTATGTTAACATCCCATGATATTAGTTTCAATATTTGCTCAACATCTTAACAAAAAAACTTAGCTAACATCCTGAGCTAGTCTATAATATCAAGTTTTACATAACATTCCTAGCAAAATAATAACGAGCTTGTGTATCTTTCAAACTTGAATCTTGACTTGTAGCTTCAATCTTCAAAATCTGTAAGTACAAAATTTTGAAAAGACGATGAATAACTATTGGTAAACTTATAAAATTTACACTACCAATGGCTAAACCACTTACCCCAAAAGCAATCTAAATTCATGTGTTATCCAGCAATATCAACAAGGCTACAAGAATATAAGAAAATTAATTAGAAAAGTTCTGGAAACTTAGATTTAAAATTGCACAATAATAAGCAATGTGCAAAAGGGAAAGAAGAATCAGATAATCAAAGTGAATCTTTAAATGGAGAACAAGGAAAGTTTGAAGCTTGCAGTTAAGCTCACTATAGCTGCTTGCCTCACAATAGCCATTTCCATATTCATAACAAAGAGCTTCCAGAAAGTTCAAAAACAGAGCAGGAAAAACTAACAAAAGAAACAAACTTCGATCCGATAAATTTCATTACGGTAACTCGGGATTTACCATTCAAGAGAGTATGTCAAGCTCCCTTAAAAATTATGGTCATCCTAAGAAACAAAGGAAGTAACTTCAAGATTCGCCCATGTGACATATTTTAACTCCATAAGCTTTAGAAGCCAGCAACAGCAATAAGGTAACTGGGAAACCAGATAAAATGAATAATTTACTATAAAGCAAAACAACATCCAAGTAACGATGTACTTGCTTAAAGGGACAAATGTATAAACTTATGATGATAGAAGGCAAATATGAAACATCACCCATAAGAAAAGAGTTGTTAGTCCTTCATTCAAGTCTACATAGGATATTCTAATTTATAAGAAAGAGGTGATGAATTCTTGTCAGCATTTGCAGCTCCAATTGGTTGATCAAATAAGTATACATCATTTTTAGATTGAAGAAAAATAAAGGATATCTTCTTTTTTGTCTTCTATCAGATAGAAAAGAATGTATTCAGTCAAAAGATTAAGATGCTTAGTTGAACACCAGAAATGTTTATTAGATTAAACACAAATATTGTAATGCATTTTCTGTTGTTCCTCTGTACTTGTAAATAATGATTCTGGAAATTAGAACGTTAGCTTATAAACGTAAATATAAATAAAAAACAGAAATTAATTCGAGCCCACTGAATTCACAGTGTTTCCTTAAGGAATTTAATCCCCTCCTAGTACCCAAGGTTATAGATTATTTCCTCCCAGGATAGAACGAATTACACACTGGTGTAGCGGTACTTCAAACCCCAGTGTTTCAACGAACACAAAGTTCGGCAACAAATCACACTTATGGATGCTTTGTTTGTAGTTAAAAACAATGCAGAATAAGGAGGACAACTCAGAAGTCGAATGGAAATTCTGAGAGGAAGGAATGCAAAGTATAGCCAATGTTGAATTCTTACTGAAGAGAATATCAAATTGCAATTCGTTTTTCCAGTGTATACGCAGTGTATACAGAGTGTATATCCAGTATATGCAGAGTGTATATCCAGTGTATACAGAGTGTATATTAAGTGTATACAGAGTGTTTCAAGTGTTTTTTCCGATGTGTTCTTCTTTCTCTCCAACTTATGCTCTATTTATAGCAGTTATTTGAGAGAAATCCGCCCCTTCCATGGTGCAACAAGCACTAGATCATGGAGAAAGCACTTACATGGTGGTATATACACTTGCTTGGTGGGAGGAACACTTGCACCATTGTGGGAGGTGCACTAGGCTGCATTGTTGCTTAGTGTTGCAATACAATACACGGATTGGAAAACATCCGTTACAAACACGGATTATATCACGTTAATATTCACTATTAACAAATAAATTTGGTCCAAAAAATTAATCAATCGATCGATCATTTGACCAAATCCGAATCCAAATCTCATTTCCCATTCACTCTAATTTTAAGACTATTTCATCTTAAACAAAAAAAAAAAACTCAACATTTTCGACTACCTACAACACTGAGTTATTAGTGCATTATCAAACTAAGAGTACCGTATAGCAATCTTATAGCTAAGTTGGGAATGAGGATGAAACGACAAACACTAGAATTATAACTTAACGATAAAATTATAAGGACCTTCCATTATAACTGACAAGGCTTCATCTGCCCATATTGGTTAATTTGTAAGAATATAAATGCGTGAATGCAACAGAGGTAGCAATAAGATAGAAATGACTATATAAAAATCAACAAAAAAAATTAAAAAGTAGGGTATATTGTTACTTACTTGGTCAGTAGAAAAAAATAGTGGTCATTCATTTGAAACGAATGATGTAGAAGGAGAGACATGTGATTGTTGCGTACGAAATATTCCTTTATTTTCCTCATTTCTTTCATCTCATCTTCTAAGGTAGACAAGCGATCCTGTAAGGATTTGTTTTCCTCATTCAAAGATTTATTTTTCTCTCTAGTTGAACGTATCGCGGACAGTAATTCAGCCTTTGAAGAAGTGCCACCTTTCAAGTATTTCGCCTTTACTCCACCCCTAAAGCGAAATACGTGGCTAGAGTTTGAGGTCCACAACATTTTTCTACTATCTCTATGCTAGGTAGAGCTGGATTCGATTGAACTATTTCTTCAATCTGAGCCTACAAAACATATGAAGAAATATTTTATATCAGAACCAATAATAATTTCAAGTATATATTCAATTTACTAAACATACATGTTTTTCAATTGCTTCAGGTTCAAACAACTTGTTATTTTTCAAACGAGTCTCAAAGAAAATTGTTGCCAAATCTGGTGGATTGCCATCTTTCCCGCCCTTTACATCAAAGGAAAATATGTCAAGAAACACCGCGTAAATATTTTCGTTAGGAAAATAGAGATTTTATAATAATACCTTTTGATAAATTATCTCTCGAATAGGCTTACTACCAATATGCTGAAGTATCTTCAACTTAGCTCGGTTTGCTGCATTCCTATTACTTCATGTCTTTGTGAAATAATAAGCTTAAATATAATTATCGTAATAAACATAAATAGTATACTTAGGTGTGTGTTTGAAATTGTTGGGCATACCTGAAAACTTTTTGAAGAAAAATGTTCCTTTACTAACCACTCCCATTCTTTCTTGTCTACTCCCTTTGGAATATTCCTAAGAGCCTTTTGGATAGGCCTATCCTTCACATATTTTGCATGCAAGTGTCCTCTCCATTTGTTCCATAACTCTTTCATCCATCCCAAGATATGATCGCGATGATCAATCATGTCAACACTCTCAAATTTATCCTACAATAATCAAAATATTGGTTGAGTTAATGCATCACAAGATAAATAATGCACTGCTCAAATATGATCATGATATCATAGAACTTTTTTGGAGTGGAAAAATAATGCACTGTTCAACTAATATGCAAGCAACTATAATGACAATATTGAGCCCTACAATCACTTAATGTAAAGAGTTTAAAAAAAAACAGAAATGTGTAGCAGTTTTTGAATGAAGCTTCAAGTATTGTGTAGAAAAATAAATAACATTGGCTCAATAAGACATACAAATAACATCTGTCAGCAACTCTATCCATGTTCAAAGTTGGTCTCCATTCCTTCATTTTGGTATTTATAGATGGAAGCAAATACCTAGGTAGTTTAAACCAAAAAGGAGATCAAAATTGGGAAATTTCAATTCAAAAAGAGTTGGACAGCATGTATGATTCTACCAGCATATGAATAATCGTCTTCTGCAACTCTTATTTAAAGGATTTAAGTAAATGGTTAAAGCATCATCGCTAAGAGAACTGCTCCATCCTTGAGCAAAATCACTTAAATATAATCAAAGTGCCATCTTCATCTAATTTGATGCATATCTCAGGACAATTATAAATAAAACTTGCAGGAACCAGTAGAACTGATAATTACTATACTTCTTTACTTCATTTTTTATGTTACTTCAATTCAAACCAATTATTTTACTCATACGTTTCAGCAATGGTCAGAATCCTTTGATCAACCTAGATATGATGACCAGTTACTACAAATCGATGCACCTGTCTTAGCTTTTGCTATAAATCTTGCCAAGAGATGGAGTTAAGTTATGATCTCAAATGGAGAAGGGCCAGGAAATATCTCCCTACTCCCTCAGATTTTGCTTTATGTTACTTCAATTCAAACCAATTATTTTACCCGTACGTTTCAGCAATGGTCAGAATCCTTTGATCAACCTAGATACGACGACCAGTTACTACAAATCGATGCACCTGTCTTAGCTTTTGCTATACATCTTGCCAAGAGATGGAGTTAAGTTATGATCTCAAATGGAGAAGGGCCTGGAAAGATCTCCCTACTCCCTCAGATTTTGCTCAGATAAACCTGCTACTTATCTTTGGGAGGGTAACTGCCCTCTTGCCCTCATGATGAGTCTATTTCAGATTAAAAAAATTCAATATCGGGTTGATCTTGCCAGGTATATGTTCCAGAAAGAACAAGGGATGCCTGAAGGTATATTTAAATGCAACCTCAAAATGGCCATTTCCTACTGTGAGTGATTTAACTTCACAACTACTGCCAGCTATTTTGATTGTGATACCATATGATATCACTAAGTTATTAGACGACCAAAAAAAAGATATCACTAAGTTATTTTAGTGGTAAACTAGAACTCTCCAATGCATTACCAAGATTGTTTAACCAAAAATCTAAGTCTTTGGTCAAAGCTAGAAATAAAGAGAAATTTGGGTTACTGATAATCTGGAGACGAAAATAATAGAAGATTTCTGAGAATAATAAAGTAATAAGTAGTTTTGTATTTCAGTGTAATCTCAATAATATTTCGTGTCCCTACAGATGTTGAATCCTTCTCCTTTTATAGTTGATTCTAGGAGAAGGTGTAATGCCTTTGTCATAATGAGACAATTATGAGCAATAAATGACATTAGAAGAAACGTTACACAATCATTTCTATTTAATTCAAATTTTCTAACGTATTTGATATTTAATGTTGTATTTAGACTCTTTTACGTCATCAGATTCATATCTTCAACTTCTTTCGATCTTCGGTCTTTAAATGACTCGAATAGGTACGAGACTCGTGCCATTTGAGTAACGGTCCACACCTATGTTGCTTTCTTCTCCCCATATCTGTTGTCGCCCGTGCCTCTTGGCTATTTATTGTGTTTTGACCTTTTGACCAGTCCACGTGTCATGACACGTCATTTTCAATATTCAGACTCAGTTTTTCCCAATACAGATAGTCCCCCCACTTTAAATTTATTTATCAATTAAATATTTGGGAAGTGGATCTTCACAAAAAATGAATTTTTGCCGTAATCAATGCTATGACAGTACTGACGCTTCAGTTGTCTTTTCTATTTAATGCTCTGCACACGTGTCACCTTTTTATTGGCTCTGTAATTCTGCAGCCTTTTTTCAAGGCTTCTTCATCCCCTCTATTAACGAAGTGATAGTTGCCTTTATTATAGGCTTTCCATCATTACACTTCTTTGTTTGACGGTTGCTATTATATACATATTTAACCTTTTTTCCTTTAGTTCATCCTTTCTCTGCAATGACGTTTCCGAATCCTAACCCTAAGAGAATCCCAATTCTTGATAGCTTCCCCAACGCCCCTGTAAGACATAGAAGGGGTAGAGGTAGCAGGATTCGTAGCCCAGTATCCGTTCGTGGTGGTTCCTCTGGTTCCATCACTCCTTCTTCTAGTTTTGGCACTATTTCTAGAGGTTCTATCACTAAGAAATCCTCTTCTAAAGGTAAAGAACTTTCTGAGCCTCTTCAAGAGCCTTTAGTTGAGGAAATAGTACCCAATGACTTATCTTTTGAGAATGATAGAAAATCTCTTCGTGAACAAGTTGTTAATTGAGAGAAAGCTGACACTTTTCCTTCTCTAATCACTGAACCTTTGGTTTCTATTGTTCGAATAGATTGCAACTGGAGAAGAGATCTTCGTATAGTGATCCCTAATCCAAACAAGAGAATATCTTCTTTTAGGATTGGATTTTCTTTTGTTTATACTTACCCCTTCACTTTAGGATTTATTCCTGCTATTGACCCAGTTATACTTGATTTCTGTCGCTTTTTCAAAATTTGTTTGGGACAAATTGTCCCCCTTGTATGGAGAGCAGTGGCTTGTTTGAGGTATTTGTCCGTAAAAGCCAATGTTAGCTTTACCTTTCCACACCTTATTCATCTTTACCATCCCAAATTATTCTGCCATGGGTTTTTTACTTTAACTGCAAGAAGTAAAAGGGTCTTGGTAAGCCCTGAAGATGACAAGGATCGTGGGTGGTACACTCGTTATGTTGATGTACGCACAGTTGATTTGGTAGATGAAACAAATATCCCCTTCCCTGAGAAGTGGAACTTTGCACGTAAGTTTTTTTTTACTTACCGTACCTATCTTTAAGAATTTCAATTTCTTTTCTAATTTCGTCTCTTTTTGCTTTTCTGTAGCAACTATGAGAGATGTGGAACTCGTTCCTAATTTTCGTGGTTGGGTAGATTCAATCTTGAAAGCTGTGCCTCTGGAGGTGAGAACTTGGAAATTCATTTCCAATTTACATGGTTGGAAAGTGAAAACTCACGATATGCATCTCTTTATGCTTTTTCGTATGTTAAGTCCTTTATTCTTTCTAACCTTTTTATCTTTCTTTTTGTCAGGATTTTCTATTTGAGGAATGACAGCTGAAGTAGCTATTGCCCTTCGATCCTCTTCTGGTACTTCACTCTCTTTGGAGAGAACTCAAGCTACGCTATCAAAGTGGAAAGTTGTAGAAGAGGATTCTAAGGATGATGAAAGTGAAGACACCTCTTTGATAGCTAGACCAAGAGTTAGGAGACGCATCGTTTCCGAGGATGAAGCTAAAGTTACCCCTATCCGTTCCTCTCTTACCGAACCTGTTCACATTCCTTCTGATGATGAAACCACTCCGAGGGACACCAATGAGTCTATTCAACGTCTCTTCGTTGGCGGTTTTGAAAGTGGAGAACTAGGTCCAGTTTTAGATGAAATTCCTTTTTCTTCCTCTGTTCCCATTCCTTCTATTCCTCCGTTGGTTTCAAGTGCTTCCTTGCCCATTCTATCTGTTCCTGCTTCCTTATCTATTTTTGCTCCCTTGTCTCTATTCCCTTACCTGCTTCGAGTCCTTTGACTCCTGTTATTTTCACTTCTTCTACCGCTCCTCCTTCTATAGCTCCTCCTTCCTCTGTTCAACATGCAGAGGAGGGTTCCAGTAGCAGAAGCTTGGCTATGAGGAGCGTTACACTTGAAGTTCCTGCTAATAACAGTCTTTTAAGGAAGCCTGGTGGAGCAGATGCCTGGCTTGGGCCTTTGATTGGAGATATTGAGAAGAAAAAGATGAGCAGTCACAGTTGCTTAACTCTGATGAATGACATAGTTCATTCTACTTTGAAGGTATTTTTTCTATACTTACTAACAAGTTTTTTTTTATCTCTAAATTCTTATTTCTACGAGTTGTCACTGTAGGCTAACCTCATTGGTACATAATTGATGGGAAGAATTTCCCTTCTGGAAAAGAAAACTCGTGAGTCTAAAAAGTCTATCCACGAGGCTGAGGAAATAGCCAAGGGAGCCCAACTAGAAGCAGCTAATTGGAAAGAGCAGTTTGAGAATGCTCAGGGAACTATAGAAGAATTGCAAGAGAGTAGAAATCACCTGGAGCAGCAAAAGCGAGGTCTGACTTCTGAGTTAGCAGTTGCCAAAGCTTCTTCAAGTCAATTTGAAAAAGACAAGGAGCGCCTTGAATGTTGCTTTTCAGAACAGTTATTAAAGTCAAGTGAAGAAATCAAAGAATTTAAGGCACTCTTGGACAAGAAAGAAGAATATGCAGGAGAATTAGTGCAGAACTTGACTCAAGTTCAAGCCGATTTAAGGATTTCCTCTGACAAAGTACGTGCCTTAGAGAGTTCCCATGCCTCCCTTGAAGTTCCCTTGATTCTCATTTAGCTGAACATCAAGTGTTAAAGAATGATCTTGCTATGTGGGAAAGGGAGTATGAACTTCTTGAGGAGAAGTTTGATTTAGAGGTGAGTTGGACTTTCTTAAACTCTCGTCGTGATGCTTTAATGGAGGCCAGTCAAGAAAACTTTGACTTAAACTCAGAGTTGGCCAAAGTTTTAGAAACCATTGGAAGAATCCAACAACCACTTGACTTTCGTTCTCCGACAATTGAAGCTCTCGTGACTAAGGAACCTGTAAATGATGAAGCCGTTGATGTGGCAGTTGAAGTTGAAGATGTTGCAATTCTAGCTCCCGAGGGTGAAATTTCTACGACTCAGTCTATGGAAGCTGAAACTTCCATGACTCTTTCTCCCCTCGTTGAACCTAACACTTCAAGCCCAACTGAAACCGCTCCTGTTGCTGCTTCTTCAGAAGTTGCCACCGTGCCTGTGGTTGTTTCTGAAAGTGAAATTAATATTGCAACTTCTGATGTGCGAACCCCTTCAGTGACCAGTTAAATTTCCAGACTTTGTTTTTACTTTCTTTGTTGGATGATGGTTTTATCCCTTTATTATTTTTTAAGGGATTTTTTGGTGAAAGTCCTCAGTTATCATAATGGGGTACTTGTATAAACTTTTTGTTGACTAAATTTCTACTTAGTCTTTTTAATTATATCAAGAAGTTTGTTAGTACTTTAATGTGTTCTATTCTTACCTTTACTTTATCTATTTAGGACTTATAGAATAGTTTAGCATTTTTATCCTTTGAAAATGCTTTATGATTCTTCTTATGACTTATTAACATGAGGTTTATAAAAAAAGGCCCTTTTATATATATCGACACTTAGTGAAGAAGACGTCTCAACTTCATAATGGTGTTACAATACGATGAAAGAAATAGGAATACGCATGTTTTGTTTGAAACAACTTTGACAAGTTTTTATTCATGGACCTGGACAAGCTTTTGAATATTACATGTATTAAAATACATCTATAACTTTCTCGTAACTGTTTTTCTTGTAACAGATTTTTACAAAATAAATATAAAATAAACAAGGTTTTTCCTCATAACCCATTTCAGTACATAGTCATGACCCTATCTTCATGTATTAAGAAGGGTTTGAGAGGTGACTCCGTTGTTCTCGTGAGTTTGAGAGGTGACTCTATTGTTCTCATGGGAAAAAACACTATGATGATATAAATCTCCCTTTGTTCTAATGGGAAAGAACACTATGATGAATGCTGAAAACTCCATAACTTTTGCTCAACACTTGTCACTTTGTAGCTTGATTTTTCTCTTAAATATTGCTCAATCTTGTTCGATTTTCGTATATGTTTTTTTTGCACGTATCTGTGTATATGTAGTCCCCCAAGTGTTTCAGCGGTGAAGTATGAATCCTCGAGCACTTGTTTGTTTCTCTCAATTTTGGTCCTTTTCCTGAAACACTAAAACATACGGGACTCGGAGGTGCAATTAGAGATGA